TTTTTTTTTTTTTTTTTTTTTTTTTTTTTTTGGTTTTTTGAGAGAGGGTTTCAGTATGTAGTTGTAGCCCAGGCTGGTCTTGAACTCACGGCGAGCCTCCTGCCTCAGCCTCCCAAGTGCTATGATTACAAGTGTATACCACCATACCTGGCTGCTTTTTTTTTTTTGTAATGGTAGCAAAGTTTTATTAAAGGTAGGAAAAGAAACAGGCTGTGTAGAGTGAGTTCGGGTGAAATAAAAATAGGGTAAGAAGTGCACGTTACATTGTGAAGGCAGGCCACCATGGAAAAGCAAACACAGTGGCTGTCAAGTCTGCTTTTGTTCAAGGCACCTTTCCTCTGCGTATTTTCTTTCTTTCTTTCTTTTTTTTCCCCAGTATCGGGGATTGAACTCAACCTTTTGCTTGCCAGGCAGTTGCTGGCACCACTAAGCTAAATCCCTGGCTCTTTACGAATTTTCTAAGCAAGATTCCCCTAGGAACCACTTTTCCTACATTCTCATTAAAGGGAGTTGTGGAATCTACATGTAGAAAAATGTATAATGCTAGTTATTTTGGCTAAAGTTAGTTTTATCATGTTATCTCTTATTTTTTAAATTTATAATTAGTTTTTTTTTGCCTTCATGGTAATATAACCACTTAATAACAATTGTCATGATAATACATTGCTTCTCTATAAAATTTTTAGTGTTGGCATGCTTGACATTTTTCTGATGATCTGTTATAAATAATGTTTATCTCCTTTCACATTCATATAGGATATTTTATTTGTAAAGGTTTGAGTGGGTTATATCATCTGAGTTTCTATATTGGACAGTAAAGCTGTTAATACTTTTTTCATTAAGTTTATTGGTACTTTATATATAGATACATAGTACAGTTACATTCATCATTGAGATCTTTTACCTTTGCAAAATGTATCTTGATTCTCATTTTTTCCCTATATCCCTTCTCTCCTTTTACCCCCTCCACCCTTCCCTATCTATAGATACTTTGTTTCCAATTTTTTCTTTTCCCTTATTTCCTTTCCTTATCCTTGCCACTTCTCCTGTTCCTTTACCCCTTTTCTTCCTATTTCACATTATCAGTTATACAATTTGAACCTTATTTACACTTTTTACTTTCTCACACCAGAGAAACATGTTTTACTATGATTAGTTTTACTATTAACTGGTAACCACTATACTTTCAAAGTTGGGTTTTATAGTTACATCCTTCTTTGTTTTTCACAAGATACCTTTTGCAATACTCTTACCAGGTTAGCAGCACATTCTAGTTGGGGAGATAGACAAGTGATCTCTTATGACAGGAACTGTGTTTGGTATTTTTTTTTCTAGTGGTTACTGTGGTACCTGTTATTAGGCACTTGACATTTGTCAGTTATGGAATAAATGGATACCTGAATTTTTTTTTTTTTTTTTTTTTTTTTTTTTAGTAAAGCTCATATTGCATCAGTTTACTGCTAACGTTACTACAGTACCCACTCCCCCAACCCTTGGCCCATTTCTATTTCTTTCAGATCATAGCATATGGGGTTTATTTTTTCTTTTCTTGGGCCACTGATTTGTATTGCTAATTTTTGGTACATTTATGAACATACATCTTGTGGATGTCTGTGGCATTTCATGTTTTATAAAACTTGAAGTGCTCCATTCTTTAAAATGGATTACAAAGATAATCAGCATGTACAACAGTAGGGTTAAAGTTATTTTGTCAAATGTTTTCATGTCACTTCCAAATGCTGGAGGCCATTTCTCTTTTTCACTGGTGGTTGTCACAGATCACTCTCTATCATGGAAAGCAGCTGTGGCTGATGGGTTTGCCGAAGACTGAAAGAACTCTTAGAAAAGAAGGTTGAATTCTGGTTCTCTTTAATCCTCTACTCATAGGCCTAAAAAGTTTCTAAAGGCTGCTAGCCATACAAAGCAGTGTGGAAGTGAAGCAATGCAGATGGTGCCTTTGGCTGGCTTCTTACCTATCTGGCCGGGGTGACATGTATCAGTCACAAAAATTTTATTTTATAATTTGTGCTTCTTGTTAGTATACGTATTCTTTTTTGTTTGTTTTGTTTTTGTTTTTTGAGACAGGGTCTCACTATGTAATTGAGACTGACCTGGAACTCATTGTGTAGCCCAGGCTGGTCTTGAACTCACAGCGATCCTCCTCCCTCAGCCTCCTGAGTGCTGGGATTACTATGCACCTTTTTTTTTTTTTTTTTAATGTGTAAAGATTTTCTTTACCAATCAATTTATAAAATTCTCTCGACCATGTGGCCAGGCTTATAATAGACCATGGTTAGTAAATGCAGAGTTAAACCAGAAAATTAAGGAAATAAAAGTTAATTAAGACTGAAGGAAACTTCACCCCAAAATTAAAAAGAAATCTTCGAGAGCTGACATGGTAATCTAAATATCTGCCCAAACCCATTCATAATGTTCTGTAAGATAAAGCCATTTTGTCTATTCAACCACTGTTTTTGGGCATGGGAACTAATATTTTATTTCTTTAAAATATATCATCTTTGGTCACAAAATTTTGTAGAATTTAATGGATTGAAAGACTATACACATAAGAAAGGCACCAGGAAAGCACATGTTTGAGCCTTCGTCCAGGGTGAGAGGTTAGTGTGAGTCATCTCTGGGAGCTCATTCCCATTGACTAGAGGAGCAGGGCTGGGAGAGCTGGAATGGATCCACCTGTGACTCCCAAGCAGGGACCTCTTACCCTGTATGCTTGCACTTGCTTTATTCTCCAGTGCTTTCTCCCATTTTCTAGAAATACTATATTTTATTGGTGATATCTTGGTGCCGGTTATATCATCCTTAAGGATATGTTACCATACTAACCTAAAAGGGAAGACCTCTAAGTATTATTAATACTATTGACAGATATATCCCTAAGCAATTGATTTTTAATAGGTTTTGCTTACCTATTCACTGTTTTGTGAATTTAGCTTATTTAGAAACAAGTTTTTTGTATTTTGGTTATTTTTTTGGAATAGGGTCTTGCTATGTAGTTCAGCCTGGCCTTGAATTCACCATATAACCCAGGCTGGCCTCAAACTCAGGGCAGACTTCTTGCCTTGGCCTTCCAAATGTTGGATTACAAGCATGCGCTACCATGCCTGGCTGGAAATGAGTGTTTTATAACCTTCAGGTAATCATTTTTTAAAAATAAGTTTTATTTTATCCCATTCCCCCACATGTACAAAAACTTTATTTCCATTTATTCCTTCTATTTTCACTTTTTTTCTTGTCCCTTCCTTTCTCCCTCCCTCCCTCCCTCCTCCCTTGTTCCCCTTCCCATTTGAACACTTTCTTTTCATTTTCCAACATCCATTATAAGGTAATCACTTATAATATAAATAGAGCATCTTAGCTGGACATGCTGGTTTATGTGCCTGGAATCATGGTACTTCAGGGGCTAAGATTGTTTGGGGCCAGCCTGGGCTATATAGTGAGTTCAAGACCAACCTGTATTATATGACAAGTACCTGTCTCAAAAAGCCAGTAGATAAATAGTTATATAGAGCACCTTGATTTCTAAACTTTGGAGATGTGTACTAATGCAACTTTTTTTTTTTTTTAATTTTATTGAGTTTATTGGTACATTTTAGGGATACAGTACAGTTGCATTCATTGTTGGGATCATGTACCTTTATACACTTTTATTTTCATCTTTTCATTCTCTCACATTTTTTTCTTTTCCCTTTTTGTTCTTCCCCTACGTATCACACCTTCCCTACACCTTTAGCTCCTTTCTTCAAATTTCTAAATGTCAGTAATCTTACTAGAATCTTATGCATTGTTGCAGAATATTCACACCAGGGAAACTATTTGGTATTTACACATGTGTGACGTATCTATTTCACTTAGGAGTATATCTTCAATATGTATCCATTTTCCTATGAATGAATCTATTCTCTCGCTCTTTATGGCTGAGTAATATTCCATTTTATAGAAAAACCACAACTTCTTTATCCAATTTCCAACGGATGGGCAAATAGGTTGTTTCCAAGTTTTAGCTATTACAAACTGTGCTGCTATAAACATGGGTGCACATACTTCTCTGTGATATGATTCTTTTAGTTCTCTTGGAAGGATACCCAGCAGAGGGATGGCTGGGTCAAATGGAACCTCCAGTCCAAGCTCTTTGAGGTATCTCCATATTGATTTCCATAGTGGTAATGCAACTTTTTATATTTACAGGGTATGGAATTTTTTGATGAAAAACTGAATTCCTTATGCATGGCTTGGCTTGTGGATCATGGTGAGTAGATAAATTAAGAACAGATTATTCTAGAAGGTCAAAGTTTTTGTATACCATGAAGTTCATTTTCTTTCAGAAAAGAATCCTGATCTAACCATATATTTTGCCTTAACATTGTGGGGATGAACAGAGGCTTTAATTAAATTACATTTCTCTTGGGCCTGGGATGTAGCTCAGGTGTGCCATACCTGCCTTGTCAAGTGTAAGGTCCTGAGTTCAATCCCTAGTACAAAAATAAAAAATTACATTTATCTTTCTTTGAGTATAAAATTGACATTTCTGCTTTCAATTTTTTTTTTTTTTTTTTTTTTTGTACTGGGGATCAAACTCAGGCCCTTGTGCTTGTGAGGCAGGCGCAGGAACCATTGAGCTAAATCCCTGGCTCTGTTATCAGTTTTGTGTGTATGTATGTGGTACTTGGCATTGAACCCAGGGCCTTGGCACTGAGGTTACAGTCCTACACTCTGTTCCTTTTTTTGTGTTGTTTTGAGACAGGGTCTTACTAAGTTGCTGAGTGCACAAGGTGGGCTTGAATTTGAGATCATTCTAATTCAGCCTACAAGAAATTACACACCTATTCTACCATGCCCAACTCTATGTTTTTTTTTGTGTTTTAAGTTACTTTCTTCATTAAGCAATCTCTTTGTCTTGTTTTTTATTTACTGTATTACCTGATTTTCAGACTCTTTTATGTACTTCTTATCCTAGGGTTTTCCACTTACCATAGTGCCATTGGTGTGTTTGGTAACTTTAAACTAGGCGTAGACAGGGACTGAAATCAAATGAAATGCTTGCCGGGGGGGAATAAATAGAAAGTTGGTTTTTCTGAGGTGACATGTGGAGAAGGAGATAGAGAGTGGGGCAGTACGATACAGGATTACAGGATTCTTAGGAGTGGGAGACGTTACGCCTTGGGATAAAGAAGGTTTGGGTGGTGCCGGGGATTTAGCTCAGTGGTTCTGCCACTTGCCTCACCTCACAAGTGCAAGGTCCTGAGTTCAATCTCCAGTACCAAAAAAAAAAAAAAAAAAAAAAGGCTTACTGCTTGCTCCCGGATTATTGCTACTCCTGCTGCTATTACAGTACTAGGAGTGGGTGATCTCAGGTGAGGTAAGACAACAGGATTGAGCAGATGACTTGATGAGCTCTCAAGTGAGATGTATAATGTGTGTATTCTTTTGTCTATCAGACAGCAGTGGGTATAAGATGTACCCTCAGGTAGGTCCCAGGACCAAACTTGACAGCTTCAGTGTGGCCTTAGACCTGTTCTAGTGAATTTCCTGTTTATTACATGTTTTACTGGGTTTGACAAGCATCCTGTTTCAGTTCCACAGTATCCTATACATGTTTTATATATGTATTGAGTATGTCTCTTTATTCATTTGTGAATGCTCATGCCTGGGTAATTGGGAAGAGTGAGGATGCTTGTGTCTGCTTATGTAGGTGATTTTGTTAAAAGCATATTTGAGAGCTAAATATAGTAGTAGACACCTGTAATCCCAACACTCTGGAAGGTTCAGAGAGGATGGCAAGTTCAAGCCCAGCCTGGGTGATTTAGTGACTTAGCCAAGACCCTGTCTCAAAATAAATACAAAGAAGCTGGGCATAGAGGCACATGTATAATGTCAGCACTCAGGAGGATGAAGCAGAGAGATTGTGGTAAGTTTCAGGCCATTTGGGCTACATAGTAAGTTCATGGGCAGCTTGGACTGCATAGAAGAGTTTATCTCCAAAAGGGGGGAAAAAAAGAGCTGGGGATATATTTTAGTGTACATGGTTCAGTCCCCAGTAAACCCTCTCCCTCCTGAAAAAAACACACAAAATATCATATGGGAGATCATAGGTTAAATGTGTGAAAAGTGGAAACTCTGTTACAGTCTGTAAGAGCATGTATATGGGAACTTCCAATATTTCTCTTTCTTTTTTTTTTTTTT